TTATTTTTTTTTTTTTTTTTTTTGTTGCTATTAGAAAATTAGAATTTTGAAAAACATAAAATTCATTAAAACACACTTCAAATGTCGGGAAAGCTCAATTCGCGCCATCTAGGAATCAAAATTTTCCCGGGGGAGAACCCCCGGACCACCCTTTCTTTTCGGGATTTATCGATTCATGGAAAAAAGAATACGCATGCAACTACTCATTTGTTTATGTATGTATACACATATAAAATAAAAAATGAGAAAAATTTACCTGACCTTTTTCAAGAGGGGAAAACCTTGAATTTTATAGAACTTTAAAAGTCATTAAAAGACATTTCAGAAGTCGAAAAGCTCATCTCCCGCCATCTAGAAGTCAAAATTTTTCCGGGGGAACCCGGACCCCCTTTATCTTTGGAGTTCATTGATTAATTTAATCATTTTCAAGGGGTGGGGGACCTTGAATTTTGAAGAATTTAAAAGTCATTAAAAGACACCACAGAAGTCGGGAAAGCTCATTTACCGCCCCCTAGGAATCAACATTTCCTGGGGAAGAAACACAGGACCTCCCCTCCCCCCTTCTTTTTGGGATTTATCGATTCATGGAAAAACTACGTATGCAACTTACTCAATCTTTTTTTATGTATGTATACACACATAAGGCCTATTTACTGTATTAACAATGGGAAAAAATTATCTGACCGTTTTCAAGAGTGGAAAACCTTGAATTTTGGAGAACTTAATTTCTTTCAAGTTCTTCAAAATTCAAGGTGTTCCCCTCTTGAAAATTATTATAATGAATCAATGAACCCAGAGAAAGGGAGGTTCGAGTTCTTTCCGGGAAAATGTTGATTTCTGAATGGCGGACAATGAGATTTACCGACTTCTGAAGTATTTTTTAATGACTTTAATTTAAAAGACACCGGGGGACAAGGGGAAAATATCCATCCATCCAAATATCCGTGAAAAATCTTTCCCCATTGAATGCCCTTTTCACCCGGGAAAGTGCATGAAGATGATGATACTGTTTTGGTTGATGAAGAAGCATAAACTTGAATTAGTAACCCGTTTAAACGAATTAGTAATCACAGATTAGTAATCCGTTTGAACGGATCAGGCCTCAGATCCGTTCACATGAATTAGTAATCTGTTCAAACGAACTAATAATCCATTCAAACGAATTCAAAATCTGTTCAAACAAATTCAAAATCCGTTCAACCAAATTAGTAATTCGTTCAAAATAATTAGTAATTTTAGGCCTAATTAAACCTACGTTTCATTTCATCGAGAGACTGCAGCATTCTAAAATATTCAAGATACTACGTAGAGAAACTAATGAACTTAAAAACTATAAATTTAAAAAATGAATAAAATGGTGTTTGTTATTAATATTATTAATGTATTATTTAGGATCTAAAAATATAAACTTATACATAAGGCTTTCAGGAATGAGAATTCATTCAAGATCTTACAGCCTGCAAAACTACCTGATGAATTAAACAAAATACTCTACAGATAAATCATATCGAAACTAACCCAATCAACCAAAAGTTAGAAATACCTTGAAAAGTAGAAGCAACAAGTCTACACCTATGGCTCAGATAAGATAATTTACGACCTCATGAGGAAGCTTCCAAGCACACCATATTAGCCGCCATCTACAACAAAAATATGCTGCATTTCCGAGCATCTGCTTCTTAATGGACCGAAAGCAATATCAAACGTATTTACAAAAAAAATGCGAAATGAAATGACACTTATGACACTATGCTTATACTTGGATGTCATCACTTCAAAATGTTTACCAATGCGTGGTAAACGCGTTTTCTTCACATACTGGCAAGGACGTCCGAACGTCAAGTCGAAAATTCCTAAAATCATGTCCAAACCACATAACGTCATGTCCAAGCCACATAACGACATGTCCAAACCACATAACGTCATGTCCAAACCACATAACGCCATGTCCAAACAACATAACGTCATGTCAAAACCACATATCAAAACCACATAACGTCATGTCCAAGCCACATAACGACATGTCCAAACCACATAACGACATGTCCAAACCACATAACGACATGTCCAAACCACATAACGCCATGTCCAAACAACATAAGGTCATGTTAAAACCACATAACGCCATGTCCAAACAACATAACGTCATGTCAAAACACCACATAACGTCATGACCAAACCACATAACATCATGACCAAACCACATAACGTCATGACGATTGCTGAAAACCGAAGATACAAACGGCATTATTAATTGTAATAGGCCTACGTATTATTAGGGAGATTTCGCTACCTTACAAAAACGATACTATTATCATCATTCGTGACTCAAACATTCCTGACAATATGCTATACGAACTGAATATGATCCTTGATTCATGGAAAGACATGAGCCTACGTTGTGACAGATACGCTACTGCAGAGGAAGGGTTGTCTAAAATTTTGATGACGTAACCGTATTTGTTATCGCTTTCATAACAAGCTTTCGAAAACTCCCTACTATAGTAATAAGTACGTACTGTACATGATAGTCCCTCTGGTCTAGTCTTTGTACCGATAAGTTTTGATTGCTGTCAGTGGTGCCCCGGGCCCCTAGTTCAAAGGGACTCATGAATGTTTTATGTGGACACGCATGACAACATTTCTCTTACAAAATATCAATTCCTGACCCAATGTTCCTAATATCCAACATAAGCCTAATAAAGTTTAAGGGCTGCTAGAATTCACAGAGAATTCAGTCAGTGGCGTATCCTAGGCGTCCTCCTCAACCCTGTTGCTTTGTGGTCTAGACCCCCGGTATTCAACCCCCGGCCAGCGGGCCAACTACGGCCCACCAAAGATTTTGGTCCGGCCCGCACAACATTGCTAAAATAATCATTTTCCGGCCGACTTTTAGATAAATTTGTTCTGTTTATAAGCACTTCTACTCTTGCATTTTGTTTGCAAGAGTGTGACTTTTCTGGGTGTAGCACACTGTATAGTGGCGTAGCGTATTGACATGGGCAGGGGGGGACACTAATTGGGATAATGAATTAAGTGGCGCGCTGAAATGATGCGATGTCTAACCATTTGCGCCACCAGCAGGATCGGGGGCATGTAATTCTATTGAAAACACCGCTTTGAAAACTTATTTTTGAGTATGAAGGTGAGATGATAAAAATATACCACACTAATATATATGTAGAACTGTACAATTTATTCCTAGTGAAA